GACTTGTCATTCTCTATCGTCGTGACGAACCCGTCCGTGGAGCCAGACCGCTCCGCTACCAACTAGATTGCCAGCTTAGGCGTCAGCCTCGAGGTAGTAGGGCAGTCGTGATAAACTCTTGTTGTCACCTGAGCCTCGCCGATCCCCAGATATCAAGATATCAATACACACACACACACACACACTGCGAGCGTGCTCAGACGGATGCCGAAACGGCTGGGTAGCAATTGCTAGGCTCGAGGGCGCCCATCGTGCCACACGTCAACGGAAGAGCGACTGTATCAGAGAAGGGCGGAGGTCGGAGAGGGCCAAAACCTTCATATAACTGTAAGGGGCTGGGAGGAGGAGGAGGAGGAGGAGGAGGAGGAGGAGGATCGGGATAACAAAGACGGGATAAGAGTGAGGAGCCGAGGAAGATGGAGGAGGGCGGAAGCCGGGAGGAGGGAGAAAGGGGATACAATGAGGAGAACGAGGGGGGATGAAAGAGAGATGACGAGCGAGGAGGAAGGAGGGAGGGAAAGAGGAGGGCTGCCTGGGCCGACAATTCCATCAACCGCTCGTGGTCGGACCGCGTACGCTCGGCCAGGTGCCCGAGCGAATTCTCCAGGTCGCCGAAGCCTTCCCGGCAACAAGAGAAGAGGGGGCAGCGAGAGACCGGCGGAGGAGGTCGAGGGGGCAGCGAGAAGAGGAAACAAGAGAAGAGGGGGCAGCGAGAGACCAGCTGGGTGCGCAAGCGTCTTATCTGATGTCCTAACCATCCCTCCGATCCCTTACCATGGCGTAGGTCTCCTTCGCGCAGTCGGATCCCGTAGCATGGCATAGCATTACATGGCATAACACGGCGTTGAGGATCCACGCGTAGCATGACACATCAAGTCGAGGCACTGCGTAGTCAAGCACTGAATATCATAGCATTTCAACTGAAGGCATGGCATCGCACAGCGGAACACACCATAGCAACGCTTGGCATACCATGGCATGGCACTGGAAATGAGGCCAGCGCTGCAACGGGAACACGATTCGGAACGAGCGGAAACGCGGAAATGAGGTCAGAGTTGCAACGGGAGCACGATTCGGAACGAGCGAAGCCTGAAAATGAGGCCAGCACTGCAGCAGGAACAACATGTTGAAGAAACGGATGTGTAAACACACATCTGGAAGACCAACGCGCCAGAATCCTCTGTACAAAAAACAATGCACGGAGGGGGGCAGGACATATTCCAGACAGGGCCAGCGGAGGGAGAAAAGGTTGGAAGGGGAATGGGGGGGAGGAGGATGGGTGGGATTGGGATGCGAGGGAAGGGGTTGGGAGGGAAGGGGTAGGGAAGGGGGGGAGGGAGGTCGAGAGGGTCGGGCAGATGGAAGGAGGGATCGGTACAGAGAGGAGAAGAACCGGGGATGCGGACCAGGAGGAGGATTGGCCTTCGACTTCTCGCCCAAAGCCGGCCCTGACATGAGCCACACAACCCTTCCATGGGGACAATCCGTGACCTTCATTTATCCAACGCTGGCCAACGGCTAGCATTAAGTCGGGCCTGTCCTCCTACAAGGGGATTTTGGACGAAAAAAATAAAAATAGTCTAAAAATACCTACAAATGGTCAAACAATACTTTCGAAAATAGTCCCCTGACTATGTTTTGCTACTTTTGAACATTCCTCCTGTAGAGGGACACGCCCGACTTAAGGCTAGCAGACAGCATCCAGAAGCTGAGCAGCCAAGACGAGTGGACCTGCAGGACGCGTTCGCCCCCCCAGCTGTCGCTGCGGACTGACGACCAAGCACCAGAGGATTCGAGCCAGGCATGGCCGCGGGGAGTGCTCAGGAAGGAGACCAGCGAACAAAAATGACCTCGACGCTCTTCGACTCTTCACGATGCCAACCCCCTTGCAGTTCCTGGACAGAACCGACTCTGACCCCACCCCGCCTAACTAGAGGCCTCCTAAATGGTGTCGGAGTAGACGGGGTCGGAGGATCGCGACGCATCGGCGATGCATCGGTGCATCGCCGACGTGTGCGATGCATCGGCAACGTCGATGTGAAGCAGATGGGCCTCCGCATCGAGCCGCATCCGCGATGCATCGGCGATGCAGCGCGATCCTCCGACCCCGTCTACTCGGACCCCCTCGGCGGTGGACAAACCTCCCTTCAATAAGACCTCCCTTTAGCGAAAACGGCCCAGGACCGAAACCGACGGACCCGGACCCGCAAAAATGACGGCCGCGACGCCCTCCCGCGAACCGAAAACGGCCGATTCGCTAATCGACGTGTCAGGGTAGGAGGTCTGTCCACCCCCGAGATATGTACTGTCACGGTGCCGCCACTTGTGCCGGCACACCGCTCGCCGCCTGGCGCACTCTGCGCGCGTCGCGCGGGCGCGGCGCACATGCCGCGGCTGCAGCACGTGGCACACCCGGCGCACGCGGCACATCTGGCGCACCGGGTGCGCGGGGCACGCTCCGGGCCCTGGGCCACATCGTTGGACGCCCGAGTTATCCGGGGTAACTCGGGTCCAGGGTAACTCGGGTTTGGGTTCCCGAAAATCGAACCCGAGTTAACCCTGACCCGAGTTACTCCTGATGATTCGGGGCTCTGGACGCCCGAAATATCCTGGGTAACTCGGGTCCGGGATAACTCGGGTTCGGACTCCCGAAAACGAACCCGAGTTGGCCCTGACCCGAGTTACCCCTGATGATTCGGAGCTCTGACATCGCGCAGCTGGTGCGCGTGGCGCTCCTGGCATCCGTCTACTCCGTTCCCACCCAGGAGGCCTGGACTGACTCAAAGGCCATGGCGGTGGCAGGCGTGCCAGTCCGCCGGGCGGCCCCACGGACCCGCGTGAGAGCGAGCTCCCACGCTTCCGCCGTCGACCACGCCGACGGGATGCACCGGCAGGCGCGGAGGACCCGCGGTTCGGCGTGGTCCCCTGGCCGCCCGAAGAGGTGAGGGACATCCTCACAGAATCGGCCGTGGTCGAACAGAGGTAAAAAAATCCACCCCCAGGATGACCACCCCTGCACGCGAAGTCGTTTAGTAAACGCGCCCAGAAGAGGAATCGAACAGGGCACAGCTCTTCAGTAAACGTCCAGGGCCGTTTCGTAAACGCCACTTCTCGGGTCCAGGTGGATTTTCCTCCCTTCATCGAAAGCCCGCGCGGGAGCGCCGGGGACGCTCCCAGACAGGACCCGTTCGGCGAAGGGACTCCCCGTCCACGCCTCCCGCGGGCAAAGACCAGCAGGCTTCCCGAGCCGACGTGCGTCCAGGCCTTTCTGGGCCCCGGAAACGGCAGAGCCGTTTTTTCACCGTTTCCAAAAACAAAAATGTTCCTTGCAAATGGAAACGGCAAAAAACGGCGACCGGAAACGGCAAAAAAACGGCTCCAGGATTGGAACCGGAGCCGGAACCGGTCAAAAAACTGCGACGGAACCGGTAAAACAACGGCGTCGGAACCGGCAACAAGAACGGCAAAACGGAACCAGTAAAAAACGGCCCTGTCGTTTCCAGGGCCCACGAAGGCCCAGGACTGCTGCCTCCGCGCGACGCCCGCTGCCTGCGCGGGGAGCCCGCGGGGTGTCCGCCGAGCTGCCTTCGGGAGCTCCGCGTGGCGCGCGCAGCCCTGGAAGCGCGGCGCAGCCGGCCACCCTGCCCCGAGCTGCCCGTCCCGGATCGCCTGCCCGGAGGGGAGCGCGGACGAGGGGCCGCCCCCCGCGGGGGCCCCGAGGAGGGGGGGGCGCCGAGCCTGGCAGGAGGGGGGCGCGACCCCATGACTGCTCCGAGGCAGGCTCGACGCCCCCCGTTGCTTGGAGCCCGACAATCCGAGCCGGGTGTTCCGCCAGGCCCTGACGACTGAACTCCCAGGTCTCCTGCGGGGTTGGCCCCCGCGTCCCAGGGGAAGAGGCGTTCGCGCATGGCCAGGCATTCTGGGCAAGCCACTGGCCAGGTCGCCGGCGCCCGCGTGCAGCGAAGACACGCACAAAGGCCTCCGGCTGGGCATGGGCTACATTGAAGGGGCCCTGGGACACACAAATAAATACACACAAATGACAGGATTCCCAATATTTTCCCATATTTTCTGGGTTTTTGTCTTCCCCCCCACTTCACATAGTTTCCCATATTTTCCTGGGAGTCGACGATTAATTGTGTCTGTGTGTGTGTGTGTTTCCCTCCTGAGTAACCCCGGAGGCGGCCTGGCCAAGCGTGAGGACCTTCGCCGAGGCCCGCCCTAGACGCTCCGCACTCGCGCCTGGCCCCAGCTGGATCAGCAGGAGCCGGCGCCGCCCCGCCGGGGCCCCGTCAGGCGCCGGCGCGGCCAGCTGCGTGGATGGAAACAATGAGCGCAAAAACGCAATGAATTCGTAATGTTGGAATTTCGCCATTCAAAGGCCGCGGGTTCCAAGCTGAGCACGATCGGCGGCCGCCGCCGAAAACGTAACCACAAGTGCGGGTGTTTGAGCCCCAGATTACCGCGGCACGGGCTGCATTCACTTTCTTTGAACGGCGGAGTTCCAACGTTCTGATTTGGTTTCGCGCTCATTTCTTACATCTGCGATAGTGCCAGTCCGAGCAGCCCCTTGCGCATGGTGCGGTGCTGCCTCCCCAGAGGCCGGGGGCTCCGAAACACGGGACCGAACCTAATGAGCAACGCCGTGGAGTCCCACGGCAGCTTGAGAAAGAAGGCGGTGCAGGCCCGCTGCGCGTGGCCGAAGGTGGATCCGCAGGGTAGCGCATCCTGTGGCAACATTATCGCCGTCGTCGCCATCTGACGCCGTCGCCGACTCCTCCCCTCCTACCTCGAGCCCTCGCATGTCTCAAGGCCTTTCGTTAGTGCTATCACTGCTGGCGGAGACAGCGCCATCGCCGCGGCCACCGGCGTCGTCGCCGCCAAGGGTGGCCGCCGCGACCGACAGTGGCTGTCGCCAGCATTCGTCGTCGCCGTCGTCTTCGTCGCCGTCACCGTCGACGTCACCGCCGCCGTCGCCGTGGAGGCTAAGGTCGGCTGGCCTGCCGAGACGCGCTCTTCCAGCTCGGCAACTAGCGCGGGCAGATTCGCGGTCCTGAAGGTGGCGCGCGGGGTGCGCGCGCGCTGGGAGGCAAAGATCTTTATGCGACTCCTCCTCCTCCTCCTCCTCCTCCTCCTCCTTCTCCTCCTCCTGCAGAATTGTCAGTGTGAGGACCGAACGGCTTGTGGGGTTCCGTGGAACGGATTGAACTCTCTTTTCTACGTGATAAGTACTGGTGGCCTCCCCCCATTGCTGATCCCGCCAGCCATCCAGGCGAAGATGGCCTAGCGGGCATCCTCTTTCAACACCGTCTGCGCATTCTGCGAGAGAGCCATCATTGCTACCTTTTCATAAGCACCCCTTCTCACAACCAGGAGCAATGAGCCCTCCCCCCACCATGCCTGTTGAAAAGAACATGCACGTGGCGGCAGAATCTGGACCATGAGCGGGCCTACCGCAATCACGTTGCATTGGAGTTTGGCAAGGCTGATAGGGGGGGATCATGTTTGCCCGCTACCCGCTCATCCACTGCCCTTATCAACTACAGATGCAAACTGCTTGCAGGCGCACGCGCCATACACCATGCTGGCCATCCCGCAGACACTGTGCTCTGGTTTTTGAGAGATATGCGGGGTTGGTGGGCGACGTATCTCCAGATGTTCGGCGGTGGACAAACCACACTTTAAAAAACCTCCCTCTAGTGAAAACGGCCTGGGACCGAAACCGACAGACCTGGACCCGCAAAAACGACGGCTGCGACGCCCTCTCGCGAACCGAGAACGGCCAATTCGCTAATCGACGTGTCAGGGTAGGAGGTCTGTCCGACCCCGAGGTGTGTACTGTCACGGTGCCGTCACTTGTACCGGCACACCGCTCGCCGCCTGGCGCACTCTGCGCGCGTCGCGCGCGCGGCGCACATGCCGCGGCTGCAGCACGTGGCACACCCGGCGCACGCGGCACATCCGGCGCTCCGGGTGCGCCGGGCACGCTCCGGGCCCTGGGCCACATCGCGCAGCTGGTGCGCGTGGCGCTCCTGGCATCCGTTCGAGTTAGAGTTCCCGACGGCTGCCACTCAAGACCTCGGCCTGTGCTGAGCCTCTGTGCCTCTGACACGGTGGGAGGGCGTAAAGAGCTGAGGGCGTACCCGCTGGGAGCGTCACCCCACACCATACGCCCCCCTGATCCATGCTTGCGATCGCCTGAAACGACGGGAGTGCCTCCTCGCTCGCCGCCAAGCTTCGATCCTCGATGCTCGAGGACGTCAGGCCTGGGCTTGTCCCCCCCCCCAATGGAATCCCTCCCAGTGCGATGTGTTTAAAGCCGCTGCCGGGGCAAGCTCTGTGCCCCGAGCGCCTGTCCCTGCTCTGGAGCCGACGTGGCTGCCGGTGCAGCTCCCTCCCTTCTCGCCCTCCTTCCGCTCCCCGTCCATGCGACCCACCTGCTGCTGACGCGAGTACTGATATCGCTGCAGCTGCTCCTGTTGTTACCGCTTGGTGTCGTCCTCATCTCGTCACTCGTCTAGTAATGGTACTGGTAGTGGTCCTCCTGGTCATCCTGCCTTCGCGGTGTCGAACTTGGTTTAGTACTCGTCAAATTGGTCGGCCACGTCCTCAGCATGATTTTGTCCGACCAAGAATATGCAACATATGTACGTAATTACCCTAGACGTACCCGACCCCATTTTTTGCGAGGCGAATATTTGTATGAGAACACATCGCCAGATTTGTACGATCTGCGCTGCACTCATTTCCACCCTGCCTCCCAGGAGCACAAGAACGTGGCGACAATCGCGCAGTCCTGGGAGGCACGAAATCTCAAATGGATCTGCACTGCCCTCAACTCCGCCCTAACCTCCCGGAACCATAACGAACATAGCGAAAATTGTCCAGCTGGCAGCCCCCAAAGGAGCCGCGAAGTCTCAAATGCATCTGCGCTGCCCTCACCTCCGCCATGCCTCCTACAGGCCCGCGAAAACGGCGACGGTTGCGCACCGAGGGAGCCGCGAAGTCTCGGCCGCGTGCGCGTGGCACTCCACTCCGCTGGACCTCTTAGGAGCCCGCGACAGTGGCGACGGCTTTGCAATTCGCAGGCCCCCCCAGGGACCCGCGAGGCCTCAAATGGGTGCGCGTGGCACTCCACTCCGCTGGACCTCCCAGGAGCCCGCGAAAGTGGCGACTGTTGCGCAGTTCGCAACAGTCCAAGGAGCAACGAGATCTCGGCTGGGTGCGCGTGGCACTCCACCCCGCTGGACCTCCCAGGAGCCCACGAAAGTGGCGACGATGGCACAATTCGCAGCCACCCAGGGATCCGCAAGGTCTTAGCTGGGTGAACGTGGCACTCCACTCCGCTGGACCTCCCAGGAGCCCACGAAAGTGGGTGAGTCGCGCACTTTTCGCAGCTCCCCAATAGGAAGGGTACGAGCAAAGGGGGCAAGGAGGCAAGAGGAGAGGGTAGAAGGAGGGTGAAGGCAGGGTGAGGAGGAGGAGGAGGAGGAGGAGGGGGAGGAGGAGGAGGAAGAGGAGAGGAGGGGGAGGACGAGGAGGAGGAGGAGGAGGAGGAGGAGGAGGAGGAGGAAAAGGAGGAGGAGGAGGAAGAAGAGAAGAGGAGGGGAGGATGAGGAGGAGGAGGAGGAGGAGGAGGAGGAGGAGGAGCAGGAGTAGGAGGAGGAGGAGGAGGAGGAGGAACGGAAAAAGGAGGAGGAGGAGGTGGAGAAGGAGAAGGAAAAGGAGGAGGAGGAGGAGGAGGAGAAGGAGGAAGAGGAGATGGGTGAGGAGCAGGAAGAGGAGGAGAGGTGTGGACACCATAGTGCTCTACCCAAAGCGAGATTACAATACAACAGGGTTGCGAAGAAAACAATAACCCGAGACGCACCCAACCATTTCTCCACTTAGCGCGGTTGCTCATGTGAATGTTCCATGGATACACACATCACGAGATATGCAGCTCTCTGAAACTCTTCGCTTAACTGTGTCGGGCCACGCGCGTCGCAGACCTGCGCAAGAATGGGCCACTGAGGACAGCGCCGTGCGCTACTGGACGTTCCGGCGATCTGCGCTTTGAAGCAGCAGTGCCGTGCGCTAAATGACGCGAGCCACGCGCCATGTGGGCGCGCAGGATGCGGCCGTGCCTCTCCAGAGCCCACGGAAGTGGCGACAGTTGCGCAATCCGCGGCCTTGCGATAGAGACGTGAGATCTCGTCTGCACGAGCGTTGCCCTGCACACCGCGATACCTCCAAGGTGCCCACGAAACTGGCAACAACTGCGTCAACTCGCAGCCCCCGAGGGTGCCGCGAAGTATCCAAGTGATCCCCGCTGGCCTCGTCTCCGCCGTGCCTCACAAAAGCCCACGAAAGTGGCGAACCCACGAAGTTGGCGACCATTGCGCAATTCGCAGCCACCCAGGGGTCCGCGAGGCCTCGGCTGGGTGCGCGGTCGACTCCACACTGTTGGACTTCCCAAGAGCCCGAGAAAGTGGCACTGTTGCGCACTTCGCAACCGCCCAGGGGGCAGCGAGTTCTCAAGTCGACGTGCGTGGTCCCCGACTCCGCTGGACCCCCCAGAAACCAGCGAAGGTGCGAACAGCTGCGCAGTTCGCAGCTACCAGGGGAGCAGCAATGTCTCAAAAGGCTGTGCGCGTCCCCCGAGTCCGCTGGACCTAAGCCCACGACAGTGGCGACGGGCTCGCAGTTCGCAGCCGCCGAGGGAGCAGCGATGTCTCGGCTGGATATGCGTTGCGTTTCCCCGTGATCCACTGGACCTCCCTGCAATCTACGAAAGCGGCGACACTTGCGGAATTCGCAGCGAACCAAAGAGCAACAAAATCTCAACTAAAACTGCATGTCCCCCGCTTCTGCTGGACCTCCCACGGACGGGCCCACGAAAGTAGCGACAATTGCGCAATTCGCAACCACCCAGATAACAACGATGTCTCAAATGGATGCGCGTGGCCCCCGGCTGCGGTGGACCTGCCAGGAGCACGCGAAAATGGCGGCAATTGCGCAATTCGCAGCCACCGAGGGAACAGCAATGCCTCGGCTGGATAAGCGTTGCGTGTCCGACTCCGCTGGACCTCCCAGGGCACGTGCAAACAGTTGCGCGGCTCACAACCGCCGAGGAACAACGAGGTCTCAGCTGGATGTGCGTGGCACCCGACTCCGCTGGACCTCAAATGAGCCCGCGAGATTGGCGACAATTGCGCAACTCGCAGCCGCCCAGGGAGCGAGGAGGAAAGATGAGGGGGCGGGAGAGACGCGCGGAATGTAGGTCCGATCGCGCGCGGAGGCCGCGAAAACACGCAATGAGGCGCACCCCTCGGAGACATGAGAATTGCAGGCAGGCTTCTGCGAGGCAACGAAATCCACAAATCTCCCTCCAAACTTGCTGAATCGAACACTCGTGGGCCACGAAATACGTATGATAGCGACGTGGCGTGTTTGCTACTCAGATACTTGTTCACGTTATCTGCCCCCCTTGTCCTCGGGCGTCCCCTGGGCCGCTTGCCTGAGAGAGGGATCCATTCCATCACCGTCTTCGGCCACGCTAAATCGCATTGAAAGGTCCTGTGAACGAGGCGCCTTTGCAATCTCAACCACCTGCAACCGACCGGAAACGGGGTGCTGCGACAGCGCGCTCTGGAGACGACGTTTGCACCGTATGTCGGCGTCTTCCCAGTCTTCACCTGACAGTTTCCAGAAGCCAGCGACTTTGCACAGCATGGCTAATCTCGCAGCGGCAATAGTCATGCCTTACTGCTGTTTCAACGCGCACGTAGCCAATCCGTACGTGGCTATAGTCGAACCCGCGCTGTCGACAAGACGAAAGCGCAATTTGACAAACATGTTCTTGTTGGTCAGGACCGCCCCGTTGGTGTGGTACTCGGCCCACGCGCACCCCATGCGGTAGATGACGTCGGTGTTCGATATATCCAGCATGGTCCCGGACAGCTTTCGCTCCAAATATTTGCGCTGGTCTGTCAAACATTACCTGTAAGCTCTGCTCCCCGAAGAGAACCGTCAGGACATCCGCGGCCATGCGGTAGCCCGGGTCGATCGTGAACACTTAGGCTTTGCTCGCATTCAGTGCCAGCCCACATCTCAACAGTTCTTCGCATGGAACCTCCAACATAAACCTTGCATCGCCAACAGCCGTGGCATACAACAACATATCATATGCGTACCGTGTGTTCGTCAATCGCTCTGGCCCCCCCAACGTCAATGCCAAACCTGCGCAAACGGTCCTTGAATCGTTTCACGGCGTGCTCTAAACCACTGTTGAACAAGAGCGACGACAACACTGTTCCCTGCTTGACGCCCCTTGTGATCAAAAAAAACCGTTGCCGTGGACGCCCCCGCGCTGATTGCGGTAGATGTCCGATTAAAGCCGGGCGCATTCCGCTGGGACGCATTGCTCGTCCAACGCGTTGAACAGCAGCGGATGCTCAATGCGGCCGAACGCCTTGGTCAAGTCGAGATTGACAACCCACAGGCACTGCCCCCAATCGCACGATGTGCAAGAGAGCTCCTCCAGAACAAAGAAGGCGTCATCAACTGACTTCCCCCAGCGAAAACCGCACTGGTCTGAACATTGCGATTTCTCGAGCTTTGGCTGAAGCCGCTGGAAAATCATGCGCGCGAATATGTGGCCAGTTATGCGCAAAATCGCTATGGGACACCAGTTTTTGACCGCCCTTCGGAAACATATGGGAAAGCGTCCCCTGCCAATCTGGATGAAGGGCACCAGTGTGCAGACATCCCAGCATAGCGTAAAGCAGGCCGTCCCCGCAGTAGAGAAACATTTCCAAAATGACCCTGGCTGAGTCTGAACATCTGCCTCGGCGCATTCTCCGGAGTGCGAAATGCAGCTCGCCCATGGAGAACAGTGGGATGTCAAACGGGCCTCGGTTGCACATCTCGTCGATCCATGCCCGCCTCTCCTTTGGCAGATCCGTGTTCAAAAATTGACTCAAAACTATGATAATCATCATTGCAGATCGGGCAGCGCACCTTCTGCTTGACCGGGTGCATATGGATCGTTGGCAGCTTTAGCAAGTCTTTGAACTCGTGCAATATTTGCACAGCTGGTTGTCAAAGCTCGGAGGTCAGAATCGAGGTCGAGATGGTCTACTGGACCCCAAGACGAGTATAACATGTTAGCGTCAAGTAGCACAAAATCGATTCGCCGCCTAAGACCAAGACTAGAACAAAACGTCCGTTGAGCATCACGCGACTCGTTAACAGAATCGTCGATATTTCTTGCAACCACCTTCTGTTCAAATAAAAAAAACTGAGCAGATCACCCCCATGTACAACGAGAGCTTGCGTGCTGAAATCTCCAGCCACGATGAATCTCCTGTGGCACCGTCTCGACCGGCGTGCTTCGGAAGCCATCTGAACATAATCCAAACAAATGTTGTGGATGTCCAGCGCACGGCAGGCACACGCTCAGAACCGTCAGCTTCTGGAACCATGCCCCAAGAGCTTCGGCAATCCACGACACACTCAGCATGTGTACGATGTACAAGTACGGCTACACCTGCGTACTTTTACTCAGCAAGGTGGGAGAATCGGTGTCCTCCGACCAACTCGTGGTCCGCTGTGTGCGTCCTCGTTCCAGTCAGGCACACAGCATCCCACGACGTAGCAGTAGGAAGACGCGCGAGCAGTGCGGTACTCAAAACGAGAATCGAACACAGGAGTGTTGGAACAAATACGCCCTGCATGAGATCCACATACACGTCGGTCGGAAGAAGTAGGTAAACACATGAAGTAGGAAGGCGGGTAAAGTGGATTGGGTCCAGGTCCCCCCAGGGAATAACAGAACACAGCAAAAGCGTGCCAATTCTTGAAGTAGGAAGGCGCTTGAAGTAGATTGGGATCTGGAAATCCAAAAATACCTACTTTCAAAGACCGGCGTGTACACGCATGGTCGGCCTTAGGATTATGCAGGACAGAAACAGGGGCCCCCCAGATCGCCCCAAGGATGATCCCCAGACCTCGCCCAGGGTGCGTCCTGACCAGGACTTCGAGGCGAATCCAGCGGGGGCGACGAGGGCCTCCAAGGAGGCCGAAAACAGGGAAAACGGGCGAAAGGTGGCAGTGGGGAACGAACAATGACATAAACATTCAAACTCGGAGGTCCGCGCGGGTTTCTCGTATCGGCGGTGACCCCCCCCTGGCGGCGCCTCCGGCGCCGCCCTTGGCGCGCTCCGCGCGCCAGGGAGGGTGGTCCATCGCCGATCCGAGAAATCCGCGCTGACCTCCGAGCTCTTATGTTTATGTCATTGTTTGCTCCCCCGAGTTAGACGAGCGCGCTCCACCACTCGAAAAGTAACTACTCGCAAATGGCCCGGATCCGCCGCGGAGGGCCTACGATAGACTACATCCAAGCGGACCTGTGCCTTTCGGACGTTTGCGAGTAGGCACTTTGCGAGTAGTGGAACGCGCTCGGTGATACGGTGTGGGCATCGGATAAGGAACCATTGGATAAGAATCCAGGTCTGGAAACCCGTGGGACCCCAATCCAGGGCTGGCAATGGATAACACCGCCGACCTCGTCAGATAAGGAACCCTGCAGGGTCTGATCTTCTTGGGCGCGTTCCTTAACAAACGCCCCCCCCGTAAGTGTGGGCGCCTTTTCCTCCTCTCACCCTCGCCGCGCTCCTCGTCGAGAGGTCGTCCAGGCCGTCGCTCAGGCGGTCCTCGGCGCCCTTCGAGGCGGCCGCCTCGGGGGGGGGGGGGCTGGAGGGGCCCTGGGACACACACACACACACACACACACACACACACACACGCACACACGCACACTCACGCGCACACACACACACACACATAGACACAGATAACAGGATCCCCCATATCTTCCTATATGTTCTGTGCTTTTGTCTTCCCCCCCACACCCCGTCCCACATTTCCCCATGCTCTCCGTGGAATCGCCGATTCCCATGCTATCTGTGGAATCGCCGATCCCTTGTGTCTGTGTGTTTCTGCTCCCTTCCAGGGGGGGGTGGAGGGGCTGGCCGCCCAGGCCCTGCCCGCCGGGGCGGGGTGCCAAGGCCGACGCGCTGCCTCCCGTGCGCCCCGCCGCACACACACACACACACACACACACACACACACACGCACACACACACACACACACACACCTGGGCAGCTGCCCAAACCCTGCCGTCTGCTCGCTCGCACGGCGCTCGAAGATCGCGCCGGCTGCTCGCACGCAGAGCACAGCGTGTGGCGCTTCCGCGATCGGCGAGCGCGGCCAGACAAGCACGGCAGGGCGTCGGGAGAAAGGAAGAAGGACAAGCGAAGAGAATGCGGAGACAGAAGGCGGCATGGAATAACCAACTGCACACACACACACACACACACACACAAACCACATGCAGTAACCACTGCACACACACACACACCAGCTGAATTTGGCGTCCCGCACGCCCAAATCGGCGCACCCCTCACACGTTTCGTGGCCCCATAGGGAGTTCCACCAAAGGCCCCAATGCCACCGCCCGCATGCGTCACGCACGCCCATTCCGGCACACCACTCACACGTTTCGTGGCCCCACAACGAGCTCTACCGAAGGCCCCAGTGCCACCGCCCGCATGCGTCACGTACACCCAATTCCGGCACACCCCTCACACGTTTCGTGGCCCCACAGGGAGCTCCACCAAAGGCCCCAAAACCACCGCCCGCATGCGTCATGCACACCCAATTCCCGCACACTCCTCATACGTTTCGTGGCCCCACAGGGAACTCCACCGAAGGCCCCGGTGCCACGGCCCGCGTGCGTCCCGCACGCCCAACTCGGCTCACCCCTCGGACGTTTCGTGGCCCCATAGGGAGCTTCACCGGAGGCCCCAGTGCCACCGCCCGCATGCGTCACGCACCCAATTCGGCACACCCATCACACGTTTCGTGGCCCCACAGGGAGCTTCACCGAAGGCCCCAATGGCTGCGGTCGCATGCGCCCACTGCACCTATTTCGGCACACCCCTCACACGTTTCGTGGCCCCACAAGGAGCTCCATTGGAGGCCCCAGTGCCACCGCCCGCATGCGTCACCCACACACATTTCGGCACACTCCTCACACGTTTCGTGGCCCCACAAGGATCTCCACCGAAGACCCCAGTGCCACCGCCCGCGTGCGTCCCGCACGCCCAAATCGGCTCACCCCTCTGACGCTTCGTGGCTCCATAGGGAGCTCCACCAAAGGCCCCAATGCCACCGCCCGCATGCGTCACGCACGCCCATTCCGGCACACCCCTCACACGCTTCGTGGCCCCACAGGGAGCTCCACCGAAGGCGCCAGTGGCTGCGTTCGCATGCGCCCACAGCGCCAATTTCGGCGCACCGCTCACGCGCTTCGTGGCCCCATAGTAAGCTCCTCCGAACGCGGTGCATACAACGACGGTACTTGAAACTGCAGATGGCTGGGTCCTTCGCCAGGCTGATTTCCGCACGCCCCCGCGCGCTCCACAGCCTCCAGTAAACACGGCATGGCCTGGGCGATTCTAGGAGATCCTCCTCCACAGCCTCCCAAGTGGCAAACGCGGACAAGGCCAACAGTGTCCGACACGGTGTCGAATCGCGGCGATGATGCGGCGAGACGCGCACGCGCACCGTCTGCCCGCCATGAACCTCGCTGGGAGACAACTTGCGTCGCTGGCGAAAGACCCAACCATATGCAGTTGTGAGTAACGCGTTGTGCGTTCCGCTTGCGGCGGAGCTTCCTATAGGGCCACGAGACGCGTGAGGGACGTGCCGTAATGGGTGGGGGAGACGCATGCGGGCGGTGCCACTCGGGCATTCGGTGGGGTTCCCTATGGGCCACGAAACGCTGTACTGGGCGTGGCGGACGCAGGCGGGCGGTGCCCTTCGCTGGAGCTCCCGATGAGGCCACGAAACGTTGTTCTGGTGGGGGGAGACGCACGCGGGCTGTGCCACTGGGGTTTTTCTGTGGAGCTCCCTACTGGGAGTGGCCGACGCATGCGTGCCAGTGGGGGCCCCCTATGGGGCCACGAAGCGCTCTACTGGGAGGGGAGGCCGCATGCGGGCGGACCACTGGAACTCCCTACGGGGCCACGAGATGTTTTACCGGGTGGGGGGGCGCACGCGGGAGGTGCGATTGGGGCTTGGTGGAACTCCCAATCAATGGGGCCACGAAACACGTAGGCAATGCAAACGGGGTCTTTCTGTGGAGCTCCCTACGGGGCCACGAAACGATGTACTGGATGGTGGCTGACGCATTCGGGCGGCCCCACTGGGGCCATCATTGGGGTTCCCTGACGCACGCGGGCGGTCCCAGTGGGACCATCGGTGGAGTTCCGTATGGGGCCACGAAACGCTGTTTCGGGTGGTAGCTGACGCACGCGGACAGTCCCACTGGGACCTTCGGAGGAGCGTCGTTGCGGGGCCACGAAACGCTGCACTGGGTGGTGGTTGACGCACGCGGGCGATGCCAGTAGGGCCCTCACTGGACCTCCCGATGGGGCCACGAAGCGCTGTATTGGGTGGGTGAAGCGCACGGAGAAAAAAGGCTGTGCTGGGTGGTGGTTGACGCATGCGGGCGGTCCCACTGGGACCTTCGGTGGGGCTCCCTATGGGGCCACGGACCGGTGTAGTAAGCTGGCGAAACGCAGGGAGCAAGGGTCGTGCTGGGTGGTGGCTGACGCATGCGGGCGGTTCCAGTTGGACCTTTTTGTGGAGCTCCCTATGGGGCCACGAAACGTTGAAGTTGCTATGTGAAGCGCGGGGAGGAAGGGCTGTGGTGGGTGGTGGTTGACGCATGCGGGCGGTGCCATTGGGGCATTCGGTGGAGCTCCCTATGGGGCCACGAAACGGTGTACTCGGTGGGTGCAACGCATGGAGAAAGGGCTGTGCTGGGTGGTGGTTGATGCATGCGGGCGGTCCCACTGGGACCTTCGGTGAAACTCCCTATGGGGCCACGAAGCGCTGTACCAGGTGGGCGAAGCGCAAGGAGGAAAGGCTGTGCTGGGTGGTGGTTGACGCATGCGGGCGGTCCCACTGGGACCTTCGGTGGGGCTCCCCATGGGGCCACGAAACGCTGTACTGGGTGGGTGAAACGCAGGGAGAAACGGCTGTGCTGGGTGGTGGCTGACGCGTGCGGGCGGTCCCACTGGGTTCTTCGGTGGAGCTCCCTGTGGGGCCACGAAACGCTGCACTGGGTGGGCGAAACGCAGGGAGCAAGGGCTGCGGCGGGTGGTGGCTGACGCACGCGGCCGGTCCCATTGGGGCCTTTGGTGGACCTCTCATGGGGCCACGAAACGCTGTAGTGGGTGGGTGAAGCGCAGGGAGCAAGGGCTGTGCTGGGCGTTGGCTGACGCATGCGGGCGATCCCACTGGGACCCTCGGTGGAACTCCCCATGGGGCCACGAAGCGGTGTACTGTGTGGGCGAAACGCAGGGAGCAAGGGCTGTGCTGGGTGGTAGCTAACGTCTACGGGCGGTCCCGCTGGGACATTCGGTGGATCTCCGTATAGGGCCACGAAGCGCTGTACTGGGTGGGTGCAACGCAGGGGTGGTGGCTGACGCACGCGGGCGGTCCCACTGGGACCTTCGGTGGAGCGCCCTATGGGGCCACGAAGCGCTGTACTGGGTGGGTGAAGCGCAAGGAGGAAAGGCTGTGCTGGGTGGTGGCTGACGCGTGCGGGCGGTCCCACTGGGACCTTCGGTGGGGCTCCCTGTCGGGCCACGAAACGCTGTACTGGGTGGGTGAAACGCAGGGAGCAAGGGCTGCGGCGGGTGGTGGCTGACGCACGCGGTCGGTCCAATTGAGGCGTTCGGTGGACCTCCCACGGGGCCACGAAACGGTGTACGGGGTGGGTGACCCGCAGGGAGCATGGGCTGTGGTGGGTGTTGGCTGACGCACGCGGGCGGTCCCACTGGGACCTTCGGTGGAACTCCCTATGGGGCCACGAAACGCTGTACTGGGTGGGCGAAGCGCAGGGAGCAAAGGCTGTGCTGGGTGGTGGCTGGCGCATGCGGGCGGTCCCACTGGGTCCTTCGGTGGAGCTCCCTGTGGGGCCACGAAACGCTGTATTGGGTGGGTGAAGCGCACGGAGAAAAAAGGCTGTGCTGGGTGGTGGCTGACGCACGCGGGCGGTCCCACTGGGACCTTCGGTGGAGCTCCCTGTGGGGCCACGAAACGGTGTACGGGGTGGGCGAAACGCAGGGAGCAAGGGCTGTGCTGGGTGGTGGCTGACGCATGCGGGCGGTCCCACTGGGACCTTCGGTGGAGCTCCCTAATGGGGGGGGACGCGGTGCAGTGTCTCTTCAAAACGAGGACCCAACACCACAGGAAGGTTGGGAAAAATATTGGCGCCACCTCGTGCATATAGCACCTTATGCATGCGCCCCCATGTTCAGCGCACCTGATCCGCCACATAAGATTATGCTCGGATCATCGTAGTTCCGTCAGTGCAGACAAGACCCCGTCCAGTTTTGCCGTTTTCCCATCTGGGGAATCGGGTGGGTCCCGCACACATGGTGGTGGTAGTATCCCTTCCATATAGTGCTCGCTTGCCGAACAAGCGCGGCCTGCTGGCCCCACGTTGCGCTGCCAGCCTCACGCACGAGCTCCTGATTCGCCTTCAGCCGCCTCGAACCGAACCATTATCGTCGAGGCCCCCGCCATCATCACCATCACCAACCTACATCTCCAATGTAATCACTAAGTTACCACCGTCATCTCATCACCATGATCCGTCCCATGCTTTCTTCGGACGTTGCAAGGGGTGACCATGGCCCCGGGCGGCCTCAGACGTTCGCACCCTCCTGGTGCTCCTGGGGCCTGGACGCCACCTGGACACCCCTGGCAAGGCTGCGGCCACCCGGGGCCCGGGTCGCCTCTTGTCAGGCGTTGGCAGAACTGGGTTTAGTGGGACCTGAGTCGTGCGTCCCGGGGGGGGCGCCCCCCCCGCCCCGTTCCACTAACCGGAACGGCCGTCACCCGAAAAACACCAGCTACGGCAGACCTGGTTCAGTGATTCTGGCCAATTTAGGGGCTCCGGGGCCCCACTACTAACCGGGTCCTCTTACCTGGGGTCCTGGCGATCCCCGATCTTGCAACGCACGGCTCCTCCGCTGGCTGGTCCCCGCGCGGGCGCAGGGCAGAATCAAGCCGCATCAAATCGGGGAATCGGGCCAGCGGCCAGAGCGTGCGCCGGATCGCGCTGCATCGGCACGGAGTCGAACCCGAATCGGATCGGCAGCGCCAGGACGCACCACAGCGCCTCTCAGGCATCGGGACGCATCGGCTCGTCGGATATTCGGGATCAGATCGAGTCGGGCCAGCCAGAGCCGGCACCGAACCAGACCGCACCGATGGTGGATCCCGCATGGCGACAGAGGGGGGGGGGCCCGCCAGCTGTCTCAGCGACTGCTCCGCCCTGCCCAGGCGCTGCTCCAGCCCCTCGCCGCGGCCGTCGCCGGGGCCTCGCCCGCGCGCGGCGCTGAGCCGGAGGGGGAGCAGGGGGAGGATCGGTGAAGGGGCCCAAGGACACACAAATCAATACACACACACATTCTGGGTTTTTGTCTTCCCCCCCACTTCCAATGATTTCCTATATTTTCTGGGAATCGACGATTGATTGTGTCTGTGTGTTTTTTTCCCTCCTGAAGCGGGGCGGGGGCGGCGACAGGAGGAGCAGGGCGACCATGGAGCAACATGCCTTCCAGGCCAAGGGCCTCGGCGTGCTCCCACGGATTGATTGACGATTGAATGTGTGTCTGTGTGTGTTTCTCCCTCCTGAAGCGGGGCGGGGGCGGCGACCGGAGGAGCAGGGCGACCATGGAGCAGCACATGCCTTCCGGGCCAGGGGCCACGGCATGCTCCCGCGGGTGCCTCCGCTCCCCGCGGGCAGGGGTGCACCCAAAAGGGGCCCGTGGAGGCCCCCAGAGGGGCTCCAGGCAGACCCGGGGCAGCCAGGGCGCCCTCGAGGGGCGCGAAGGTATTCGCGCTGCGCGCTTCGCGCTTCGACTCCGATTCCTCCTCCTCCTCTTCTCCCCTGGGAGGCGGCGCGAGAGCGCGAAGTCATTCGCACCTCGCGCTTCGCGGTTCGGCTCCGATTCGTCCTCCTCCTCCTCTTCTCCCCTGGGAGGCGGCGCGAGAGCGCGAAGCTATCCGCACCTCGCGCTCCGCGCAGCGCGGAGCGCGAAGGCGGGTGCCCTTGGGACAGCCTCGGTGAGGCCCCGACTGGATCCGCGGCCCCTGCGTGAGCTGAGGCCGTACCCATGTTGACAGCAGACGGGAGACCCTGAGACAGAAGTGAGAACACCTACTCCGCTGGGTGCGTGAGAGAGTTTGACTGCGTCTGCGGGGCCTTCCCGACCAGCAGGCCCTGGAAGGTCCCGAGGACTTCTGAGGGGTTCTGCTGTGTTCAAGAGGCCCCTGGGAGCGCCCGAAGAAGTAAAAACACATCAAGAGGGGGCATAGTTCTGCTTCCGTCAACGGCATGGGGAGCGACTCCCGTTGTCACTCGCCTCTCCCGTCTGAAGTGCTTTCTCTTTCTTGTCAGCGATCCCGCGAAGGCCTGAATGAGGGAGGGGTCAACAGTTAGGGCCACGATGGAGGCCGCGCAGTGTGAGCGACCTCCCTGCATAACAGACATGTGTCCATCGGTGTCCGTCGGGCATCGCGGCGGGCAGCCGGCTCAGCCCAGGCCGCGGGCGCCCGGATGGTGCAGGATGCAGCGGCAGCCACACTGGCAAGCTGTACCACGCGAGCCGAACCTGACCGCCCCCCGAATCTACTCCCCTGCACAAAAAACGGCCACCTACCCCTGACCGCGAGGAGGTCACCCGGGCGTCCGGAAACGCCCCGAAGCCGTCAGAGACGATCGAATCCTGGAACCTTGATCCTGGATAGTCCGCGACGACAACGGCGAGGATTGCATTGCCTTGGCAGCCCGTTGTAGCCTGCTTGACGGCCCAACTTGGCATGAAGGAACCCGAATCCTGAAATAAACGAGTCCTGCACCCCGGAGCCTTCCCGCTTTTCGTCCATGGATCTATTTGACAATCGCGCGGCCTGGGAACGGCCCCGGGAAACCGCAAACCGCGACAAAGCTGCCGGACCCCTTTCCCTCAGGACCCTTTACAACAGCAGGATTCGGACAAATTCGGATGAGGATGAATCGGGAATCCTTGAAAAACGGAGGGTCTGGAGGATGTATTGGGCGCCGCGGCTACTCCAAAGCGTTCCCCAGAACGCTCTGAGAGCGGTCCGGAACACCCTTGGGCGATGTACCTCCATCGCATGCCTGCCCGACTTTCCCTCAAGACCCCTCTGCATCATGACGACCAGCGACTCCTGCTTCCCGCCAGAAACCGCCCTGCCAGGCACCGTCCGTGCCAGCCCCTCCGCCGCCTCAGCGTCGGGAGCGGCCAAGAGGGGGGTGTCCAAGAGGGGGGGGTGCAAATCATGACCGGTGGCGTGTGCGCGGCCCAGCGGGGGGGCCTGGGACGTAATAGAATAAGAAGAGGCGCCATGAAATCTGAGGAAAAATCATGGCCCGCGCCATGAAATCCACCCCCCCCTAGTCATCACCCCCCTCTTTTCCGCTCCCGACAGCGGGGCGCCAGAGCTCGCCCGCGGGAAGCCCTGCCGGGCCCGCAGCCCCCGCAGACGATGCCGACGGCGGCGGTAACGACGGTACTCCAGATTTCGTAGTAAAAGGGAGGGGGTCTGGACCCTCCAAGACAAGCCATTTCAGACCTCCCCCGTGGGAGAACCCTCCAAAACATCGTCCCCAGATCCCCCAGGCCCTCCAAGATAGCCTGGAAGAGACCCCCCCCCCGAAATGAGACCCCCCTCCCTTTCTTACGAAATCTGGAGTACAGACTGTGGCAACCACGACGGCAACGATGACGACGGCGGCGCGACGACGACGGCGACGATGGCGGCGGCGGCGGCGGCCACGGCTGCGACGAGGGCGGAGGCGGCGACCACCGCGCCTTCGCAGCGGGCGCGGAGGCCCGCGGCGCGCTGGGCGTCCAGCTGCTCGGCCACGAGCGCCAGCCGCTGGTCGTGGCCCTCGAGCTTGGAGCGTGCGGCCACGAGCCGGACCTGGCCCCCAATTGCGCAGAAGGCATCTATACACCACCACCGCGCCAGGCCAGGGCAATCCTGGGCCCTAGGATGGTGTTTACGCCTTCCTGGCCGAGCCAGGAGGGTCTATACACCATCCTACGGCCCAGGATGGCCCTGGTCTGGCACGGTGGTGGTGTATAGATGCCTTCGTCGGACCAGTCGTCGTCGTCGCCGCCGCCGTCCACGTCGGCCCGCCACGCGGCCGACTGTCGCCGTCGCCCTCCTCCTCCTCCTCCTCCTCCTCCTCCTCCTCCTCCTCCTTGGCCGCCTGTGCTTCTGGACGTGTGAGATACCAGAAGGTGGCAGCCGGCGGAGTGCGAGTGCACGTCGTCGTCGCTGTCACCGTCGGACTCATGGCTGCGGTCCGAGACGGAGCGTGACGGAGCACAGCGCGAGCGTTGTGCGCAGGCACGAATGCCGAGGGGCGCCCCGCCACGCGTGCCTTGCGCGGCGTCTGGCGCGGCCACGCGTGCGCCGCGCGGAAGACGGAAGGTCACGACAGAAGTGCGGCGCCTCCGCCGGGCGTGCGGGGCATGGGGCCCTGCCCTACGCCGCGCGAGGCGTGCCGTTGCTTTGTGGTGGTTGTTTTTCTTGGTTTGTCCGCTGCGTGGCGCTTGGCTTTCGCCGCTCCGACCTTCTCTCGCGGTCGGTTTTGTCCGTTCGGTCGTCGGTGGCATCGGCGTCGGGCCCTGGGTTCGCGTCCGCGCGTCCCGACCCGTCGGGCGCTTTGGGCTTGCGTCGGGTTTCGTTTCGGTCTCGGGCCTCGGTTTTCGCGCCCGCGCTGTCTCGGTGCTTTCGCTTGCTTCTCTCCGTCGGTCCGTTTCGGCCCGCATTTGCTTTCGGTCGTGGCTTTCGTCGCCCGTCGCGCGACCGCTGCCGCCGCCGCCGCTGCCCCGCGTCGGTCCTGCCTCGGTCTCGGCTCCGGTTTCGCGCTCTCACTGTCTCGGTTCCGTCCGTTGCTTCTTCGCCGTCGGTCTGCTCATGTTCGCCTTGCCCTTCCGTCGTGGCCTTCGCCGCGGGTCTTTCGGTCGCTGCCGCCGCTGCGTTCGTCGCTCCCCTTTGTCTCTCCCCTTTCTTTCGTCGGGTCCTCCGTCCCCGTTCCCGCGTCCCTCGGCTAGGTCCCCGCGCCCTGGGCTCGCTCCAGTTCGCCTCGGCTCGCGGTCGGGGCAGCTTGTTGCCCTGTTCGGCGTCGCCGCCGTCGCTCGCGCCGCCGCCACCGCCGCCGTCCGCCGCCGCTTCCTCGATCCTCGTGCGTCAAGCGTCAGCACGATGCGCTGCGCCCGTGCGTTGCGCACCCGCACCTCTGCCGCGGAGGCACCTGTGCACCACCGCGTGCGCGACGCTCCCGAGAGGCAGCCGCGTGCGCCCGCGCAGCACCGCGCGCGCGCAGGCCAACGCGCGCAGTGTCAGCGCGTGCGCCCGTCCCCGCGCGTTTGCAGGGCGCGCGCCAGAGCAGCACCGCGTGCGCGCAGGGCGCAACGCGCTGCATCACCGCCTGTGCCGTTCCATCACAATCGCCGCGCGTGCGCCTGTGCAGCACCCCGTGCGCGCGCGCCGCGACGTGCCGGCCCTGCGCGCGCGCCCGTGCTGCACCGCGCACGCAGCGCGCCCGCGCGACCGCAGCACGCGCGCGCCAGTGCAGCGACGTGCTCGCGCGCGCTTCAACGCGCAATATCAGCGCGAGCGCCCGTACAGCACCGCGCTCTCAACGCCCCTGCGCAGCCACCGCGTGCGCGCCAGCAAGTGCAACACCACAGCCGCGCATGCCACGACGCGCGCATTTTCATCGGCGCGCGCGCGAACGTGCAGCACCGCGCACATGCAAGCCGTTGCGACCAGCTTCAACGCAAGCGCCTTCGCAGGTTCGCGTTACGGCAACAGCATAGCCGCCAGACCTGCGGTCAGGCACAAAGACGGGCGGCGACGAGGCGGCGATGGCGACAACATAGCCGCCAGACCAGCGGTCAGGCCCACTTCCTTAGAACAGAAGTCAGAGCCAATTAGTGCAAACACTGTTTGGAGAGAAAACCTGATTGGGGAATCGAGTCGCACATTTAGGAGGATGCTGCCGCGCAGGGTGCTCTAGGGACCTATGTCGTCATCAACCGCACCGCCGATTACCTGGCGGAGCAGGCGGCTCAGAAGCACGCGCTGGGAGAGGCTGCGGTGCAGGCAGTCAAGGAGATTGACGCCAGGGCACGCCGGGTCCGCACTCGGCTTGCCACCATCTCCCGTGCCGCTGGAAACGCCGACCCGCGGCCGCGCCGCGGCGCGGCCGGCGACCCAGCACCGCCCCCGACACTGTTTGAAAAGGCGACAGCCAGCCCCCCGCACGAGAACGAGGTGCTGAGTGGCAGCGCGCTCGGAGCAGGAACCTTGCGGATACGCTGCCCGCGGCACGCACGCCGTCCGCAAGCGGCAGCTTCTGATGGGATGCGCAGGCCTGCCCGTGCTCGATACTGGGCGTGCCGCCACCGCGCGGAGGGCGGCCGCGCCAAAGCCAAAGCCACAGCGAGTACGGTGACCGTGGGCCATCAACTGGGCACGCAGTGCGCGCACGCGTCGAACGACCTGCATGACGAACGAACAACATACACCCATACCCATAAGGGGGTCGTTGGGAGGAGGACTGGCTATGGGTATGGGTGCGGGTTGTCGGACCCTAGGGAACGCTCCCGTTCGAGCGGGGACCCCCCTCCGACAACACGCACCCATAGCCCTTTCCGACCCCCCTATGGGTATGGGTGTGTGTGTGTTGTTGGTCCGTCACTGCAGTCAAGTGCAGTGCCCGTGTGACTACGCGGCCGTTGGGGAGCGGCGTCCACGTGGGAGGGGGGCGGGGTCTCGTGCGGCCTGGCCTGGCCGTGCCTGCCGCCCAGCGCCCCGCGGACCCAGGGCGTGCGCGAGGCCCTCGCCCGCCTCAACCGAGAAGCCTCTGGCCTGGCACCTCCGCCGCCAATCTCAAATGTGGAACGCGGGCCGCTGGAACCGCGAGGGCGTCGGGAAGGAGCGTCGCCGCAGGTGTCGGAGCACAAGGGCTCCCACCCTCGCGTTTCGCGCTGCGCGAAGCGCCACATGCGAATAACTTCGCGCTCTCGCGCCGCCTCCCAGGGAAGAGGAGGAGGAGGAGGATGAATCGGAGCCGAACCGCGAAGCGCGAAGCGCGAATAGCTTCGCGCCCTCGAGGGCGCCCTTGGAGCAGGCCGCAGACTCATCAATGCTCACGGCGGCGCAGGGCGTAGGCGCGCCGGCACCCCTGGTTGCGCGGCGGTGCTGGCACGCGCGCGCGCCAGCTCCGGCGGGACGGCCAAGCGTTCTGGGGGGTGGGGCGCTCCCGCCTTTCTCCTCCTCCTCCTCCTCCTCCTGCTCCTCCTCCTCCCCCTCCTCCTCCCCTCCCTCCCCCCTCCTCCTCCTCCTCCTCCTCCTCCTCCTTCCTCCTCCTCCTCCTCCTCCTCCTCCTCCTCCTCCTCCTCCTTGCTCCTGCTCCTCTCCTCCTCCCCTCCCTCCTCCTCCTCCTCCTCCTCCTCCTCCTCCTCCTCCTCCTCCTCCTCGTCCTCCTCCTACTCCCCTCCTCCTGTGCTCTCTTGCCCCATCGACGGCAAAAACATCACCATCGTCGTCGTCGTCATCATCTCCACCGTCGCCATCAGCATTACCATCGTGATCGTCATCGCTGGCAGAGTCGCCCTCAACACCATCGTCATCATCAGCGCCAGCGTCATCCTTGCCACCGTCATAACAATTGCCATCGTCGTTGTCATCATCATACCACCGTCGTCATCGTTGTGGGCGTTGTCGCCACCCTCGTCGCCAGCGCCAACGTCATCACTATGATCATCAGCACTCGCCCGCCCGAGTCACGGATTCGCATGAGTCGCTGCGTCGGCTGAGTTTTGCCAGCAGAATGCGGGTGGGCGAACAACTCGTGCTCCAGGCATGAGGATGACACACACGAGAGGCGTTCGACAGGGCACAAAGGAACCCTTGATGCTGCGTGCTCGACGCACTCTTCTTGAGCTCGACAGACCCCACGGAGTCGCACCTGAGTCTCAGCCCGCGCGGCGTCGCGCCTGAGTCTCAGCCCGCGCGACCAGTCAAGCAACGCGACGCAGTCAGACGCAGTCACAGACCTAGCTGCGAAAATGCGACTGGACAAACGCTGTTCCGCCTGACACTGAACTCTTGCCGTCCTTCGACTCGCGTTGGGGCGGCCACGAGTTGCGCCAAATTTCCCTGGGGATCTCTGGATTAATCTGGGTTTGCCACTGTGTATCTGGATGTACCTCGATCTATCTGCATGTATCTTGCTTTCTCTGGCTCGATCCCCACAAGTCGACTGGCGAAGCGTCATCAGGCCCTCAGGCAGGAACAGGTGGCCTGGTCGCCTTGGCTGGTCGGAGCAGCAGAGGCGGTTAGGGGAGCGGGCGCGGCCTCGTGCTCCTCCACGCGCGCGTGAAAGGCCTCGCCCTCGTGGAGGAACTGCTCCACGCTGACACCGTGCTCCTCTCGAGCCGGGTGGGGGGGGAAGGAAGAGGGCTCCTCCCTCCTGGCCCTCCTCCCCGCTGCTGCTCCTCGCCCTCACATTTCACGTCCTTGAGATGTTCCGCGTGGGCGCGGGAAGAATGAGGAGGGGCATGAGGACAACGAGGAAGAGGACGACACCAAAGACGAGCAAAGGGGGGGATGGAAGGAATGGTGGGGGTGAAGCGGGGACGGAGAGAAAGGGGGTAAGAGGACTCCAGCGTCCGCTTTCCCGTGGAGAACACCACGCTAGCTTGGACAACCTCGGGAATCCAAGTGGTCAGCTGGATCGACGGCTGCGTGTTGCCCTGGAAAAGTGAAGGCACCGACTATACACCCAAGCGATACAGCCAAAACCCATCCTAAGAATAGGATACGGCTGGTTCGTGTAGTGACAGCCCCGGCGTTGGTTTCTGACACCGCGTGGATTGTTCGACATTGAATGATCGGCGGCTTTTCGATCGCCCGATCGTTCAATGCAGGCCGATTCCGGACCACTGGCGGCGTTCAACCTTGAACACCCGCGGCGGGGTCACCGCTGGTCGACACGATGCGAAACTGCCGTATGCGTTTTCGCCTCACTAGTGTGTCGTGAAGGCGCAAACCCCGATCCTGGGTCCAGAATGGGCATGGCCAAAATCGGCGCACGGAAATGCATCGTCGGCGCAGCCCCCCACCGGGTGACCCTGTAGGGAGAGGCAGAGGAGCGAGTCATGGGACGGACGGAGAAAGCAACAACGTGAATGGGGGAGGGAAGGGAGAAGACGCCACTCGGCTCAGAAAAGAAAAAGGAAGCCGTTCCTTCAGCTGCTGCTCAATATGGCGCAGCGCGCTTGCGAAACGATCCTCCACTGCCTGGCGAAGGCACAAGACATGTTTCAAACCCAGCAAAACACGGATCAATGGTACATTGAGAAAGAAGAAAAGAGGCAAGAAATTTGCGCACCGTGTTGGAACGTGTTTGTACGCATGACGATACATGTGTCCAGGGGGCAGGCACGACCACGAATGTCACCACAACATCGCTCTGTGCAACCACTGCGCATCATCCAGCGCATCCGCTGCGACAAGGCCGCCTGCCGCACGCACGTGACACCGGTGCACGCGATGTATACGTATCGCCTGAGATCCACATTTCCTCCTGCAAACACATGCGGGGAATAGGCGACGCCCCAACGTGCAAATCCCAAGCGCGCGACGCCCCCCAGGGGCGGCGCGCGCGCCGAGAGATCTTACAGTATATGCGTTGCGGCGGGCGTTGTCTTGTTATTTGTTAGGAGGAACGGGATCCTCAGCAAATGTTGGGTTCAGTGTTGCTTGGGTTCATGGCGGTGATATCCGGTAAGCTGCGACGCAGCGGATATGCGCGCGCGGGGGGGGGGGGGGCCGCCGCGGCGCCGAGCCCGGGCGCCCCCTTTCACGCGCGCGAGGCTGGCCCGCGGTGCCAGTCCAGCCCTTCCAACCAGCTCGCGTAGCTGCGGAAGCACAAGATAGCGCGACAGCAACGGGCGGCGGCGGCGGCACAGGGACAGCGGAGGAAGATGCTAAGCGACTCTTCCCGCGGCGGAATGTGCAGGCCCATGATTTCGAACCCCCTCAGAGCTCCGCGGGCGCGCCGCACCCCGGGGCACCTTGGAACGCGTTTTTTTCTGTTCGGCGATGATGGGCGCCATGGGGGGGGGGAGCGAAGGGGGGGGTATGACGTAACGCCCCCCCCCGCCCCGCCGCGTGGCTCCGGCACCGCAGCTGCGCCCGCGCGCGCGACGCGACGAGCGACGAGCGACGAGCGACGACCGACGACCGACGACGACGACGCGAGCAGCACGCAGGTGGCAATATGACCCGGTGCGCTTGTGTACACCACAACGCTAGCGTGCACCACAACGCGCGTGCATACCACACCGCCTGCGCACACCGCTAAAACCGTGTGCAACGCAACGCCTGTGTACATCAGTGCTTGCGTACAGTACAGCGCCAGTGTACATGTGCACACCGCAGCTACCATGTGCAACACAACGCCTGTGTACACCAGAGTGCTTGCGTGCACCGCAGCGCCTGTGCACGCCACAGCGCGCGTCGACACCACAGCATCCGCGTGCAACGCAGCGCCGGTGTACACCACAATGCCTGCGTGCATAGGACAGGTCGAAAGAACATCTACGTGAGGATCTGGTGCGGACAACTAGACGCCAACCCAAGAAATTGTTGATAATCGAATGCGAAGTGATTCCCCCCCTCCTCCTCCACTTCCACCACCTCCTCCTCCTCCTTCTCTTCCTTTTCCACTTCCTCCTCCTCTTCCGCCTCCTCCTTCTTACCCCCTGTCGTGCGGGTTGGCTACAGCACACGTGCGCATCCCAGCGCGCACCGCAAAATGGTCGATTGAATCGGTCCACTCGGACGGCCAATTGAGCTGGAGCCTCCTGGACGCACATGGCTGGAGTTACGGTGATGCGGGCGGACTCGGAAGACTCGTAGATTCCAGCGGCGCTCCGTTGTCCATAAGCATTAGTTCCCTCTGTTTTCTGTGGAATCCACAAACGCTTTGTTTTGTCATAAGGCTTCGTTATCACATTATATATGCAACAGTGGTGTTGTGTTGCACACGGTTGGCGTGGTGCACACAGGCGCCGTGGTGAAAACAGGCATAGCAATACATGCAAGCATTGTGGTGTACACTGGTGCTGTGTTACACACGGCTGATGTGGTGTACGCAAGCGCTGTGGTGTGCGCAAAAACTGTTGTGCCCGCGGGCACGGTGGCACAAACTGACGCTGTGTTGCACGCGGCTGCTGTGGTGTACGTGGGAGGTGCGGTGTACACAAGCGCTGTGGTGCACGTAGGCATTGTGGTGTACACAAGCGTTGTGGTGCAAATCGCCACCTATATGCTGGCTGGCGCTACCCGTCTGCAGTCATTCCTAGGCATTCCCACACGTCGCCGGCGCGAAACGTGACGACATCGACCCCCTCCACCCCCCTAGATGATTGCCGCCATCGGCCCGGAAAAAAACAGGCCCCAGCCGCGTCCGCGCGCACGACGACTGTGAGCGACGAGAAAAAAGCCACAAGTGACGACGACGACGACGACGACGACGACGACGACGACGACGACGGCGGACCAGACTCCTATGCGGATTCCTACGCGGATCCCAAAACGCACGGCGGCAGTGCCCGGAGCGCACTGGGAGGGGGGAGCGTTACGTCATAAGGGGGGGGGGGGGGGGGCGTGGGCCATGACGCCCACCATGCCCCAAGCAATAAGGAAACGGGCTCTTGGCCCCCCCGGCGCCGACCCCAAAAAACCTTCTACGGCGCCGAAGGCGGGGTGCCAGCCACTACCAGCGGAGCTTCCCTGCGGAGAGCCGAAGCAGACCGACGAATCCCCAAGCTGAACAACGTTCCGCGCCAAAAATAGAAATGGGTGTTCTGGATCTGACCACTTTTTGTCCTGATCTTTTCGAGCAAGTGAGGGCCGCGCCGGTTGAACCGGTCTCGTCTCCTTCTCTGCGGTCGCCAACGGCCGAAATACTTGCTGTAGCCGCTGGCGTGCCAGAGCTGCCAACTCTCTTCAGTGTCGTTGACGACCCAGCCGTCTGCGTTGCTCGCGAAATTATACTGAAATATGTCCACCTGCCAGCGCCCGCAGCGCCGCGGCCCCTGCGAATGTCTGAACCAGCTAGGCGACGACGCGCACGAGCTGCAGTGGCAGGAATGGAGCGTGCCCTACTTCCTGCCCACAACTCATCTGCTTCGCCAAGTGCATCATCGGCCAAGTCCCTGCGTCTCGGGGCAGCAGGAGGGCCGCGGGCGCGGCGTCGCGCCCTCGCGCGCGCGCGCGAACCGCGGCCCCTGAGCGCCGACGGCGGCGCAGGCAGCGCGGAGAGGCGCGGAGCTGCCCAGGCAGCGAAAGTTGGAGGTGCCGCCACTCAGCGACCGCAGAGATCGGCGTAGGCAGCAGCGCCGCAGCTATTTGGAAGACAGGTTGCAGGTCACAGGCTGGGCCGGCGGCCTCGCTAGTAGAAGCTCTGGTCCCATTGCTCCCCGTGGTCCAGCATAAACGGCGCCGCCGGCCGAAGTGGCAAAGACCCCCATAGCGTTCGTCGGCCCAACGATGCCATCCGCGGGCGCTCTGCTGGCTTGCGCCGCCGGCTGAGCATCAACGGGTGAATTCTGAGTTCGAAGCAATCCGCGCCTGAACTTCTGCAGTAGCCGCGACAACTTGCATCTCAACATCCGTTGGAATTCCGATATTGGTAGATCGATATCGGGTCCTCCATGCTTTTTGTGCGCGCGCAGAATTCCGAATACAGCAGCGGAGGCACTCCGATCACGCTTGGCAGCCAGGTATTCACGCAATTCGGCGCGATCGCCAGTCATCTCTTCGCCCCATTCAACCTGGCCCTTGAATTGGATGATACAGGCCTGAGTCAGTCGCGAGGAGTTCCGCATCTTGGATCTATGGTGGAGTGCACAATTCCTGATGTATTGTCCTACCAAATCTGACCTTCGATAATCTCTCCTTTTTCTGCGACTCATGAATAGGCGTCCCTCCTCCATTGAAGGGGGCAATGCCCCGGTCCGAGTGAATCTCCCGAGTCGACTGGCCCATTCGGGAAAGCCGCGCATCGTTGTTCTGCAACGAAGCCTGCAATGCATTCTCACACGGCGTTCCAGATCCTAAACGACCTCACGCCATGGGACTTGCCAAAGATCCTTGTGAAAGACATGGATCAAACTTCGGCATCTGTATTCTCTCCTTCCTTCGAAGATCCCATTGCGGAATTGACGTGCGGCTTCTTTTGCAGTGCACGCCGATGTCTTGACGGCGATCGCCGCCGGTAGGTCAGTAAATAAATCCACTGGATATTGCGAAAGAGTCTCAACGCATCTTCTTCCTTCAAGACCTCCCCCGCTGTTCTGTCTCTGGCGAATTTCGCCTCAGAGGCGCGAAAGATTGAATTGAAACTGACCCTCGTCGTCGCCTTCTCCGACGCCTCGTTATTCGACGGGCGGGGCAACCGCGGGATGTTGGACATCATGCGGACCTGGACTAATCGGCGACATGTTTTTCCCATGGAAAGTTGTTCAATAGGGCGCCGGGCTCATCGACGCATCAATTTCGATGCGCGAGGGGGGCGACCCTGGAACCCAATCCACGTTCATTGCTGGGCAATCCGTCAACGAATCAAGCGCAGGCGACGCTGAGCCTCGCCCGCGTGATCTGCCGGGCCCGCAGATAAATGATCCCCCAACAGCCAGGCGGCAGCGGGGGGTCACTTCTATCTGCGCCCCCCCCCAGATCTGCCATGCTTCTACGGGGAGAACCTGGTCATCTTCGCCTTCTATCCAGGCAAATGCAGCCAGCAGCGGGCGCGTCGTCGGCGCGGCAGCCAGGTCAATGCGTCGCCAAAGAACATGGCACCAGTCAGCAGCCTTCGCGCCGACTCGATCCCTTCCACATGTAATCCGCCCGCACTTTCGGGGGGCGCGAGGCTGCGACGGTGCGCGCGGTCTGCCGCCATGTGGCACGCGTTGTCATGCGTCGGTGTGCCTTCTGCCCCTCCAATCCTGTTTCCTGCCTCCTGTTAACTCTCCGCTAAGGGGCCCCACCGCGCCGCCAAACGGACGGCGGGGGGTTGGACCTCAAATCCTGGCTGCCCCAGGCCGCCCCTGGATTCTCACGGCGACGCCACCGCGCGGCCAGAACGGCACCCCCCGTGCCCGCGCGCAGCGAGTGGCGGGAGCACGGCCGCGCTCGCCCTCGGGCCTCGGGCCTCGGCGCAGGAGCCCGGCCGTGGCAGCCCACGCGCCCCCCGCACTGCGGAGAGAGGCACGACCACCTGGCGGAAGCACGGCTGCGGTTGCCCACGGTGGCATTCGGCGGATGGCCGAATATTTTGCCACAGGTGGGAGGCCCCAGATTTCCAGGGAGGCCCGGGCGGCCTCCAGAGCAACCCGAAGCCTCCCGTCGGGCCCCGAGACGGCGCGAAGAAGTGGCGGGCGGCTAGCAGAGGAGGGAGGAGCCGTCGTGGGCCACAGTGGCCCAGTGCACGCACGGCCCGCGGGTTCCCCTCAGAGAACCTCCGAGGCAAGGGGCAGGGTGCAGGCCACGAGGGTCCAGCGGGGGTTCCGAGAGCCCGCAGGGGACGCGTGGCTGCGTCGGCGGCACGGGTTACCAGGGAAGCCCACCCGAGGATCGGCACGGCCGCGGAAGGCAGGTCTGAGACACCATGATGGCACTCTTGGCTGGCGAGTGGGAGTCGTGCGGCAGATGTACCTCACAGCGAGACAGGGCGGTCGATCCCGTCGTCGCCGCGCCCGCACACCAGCCGAGGCCATGGTCCGAATGCGACTGGCAGGCCCAGCGTTTAGCATGAGCTGACAGGAAAGCAGCGATGCGAAGAGATCCCCACAAAACTCGAACATCTATTCCTCACGTCCCGCCCTTCCGCTGGCTCCCGAAGGCTTCCGCCGGCGGAGGCGGCCTCGTTTTACTTCCACCTCTCCTTCCGCCGCGTTCCGCGGCGGACAACAAGGAAAACGCCTTCGATCCTCGAAAGCCAGGCCATTTTTGGAACGCCCCCTATATTCTTAGGCCCACACGTGTTCCCCGCGCCGATCGGCAAAACAATGAGTAAGAGAACGATCACTAGGCCCACACGCGGTGGGCGGGGTGAATATCCATATGTCCACCGCCTCGCGGTCTAGACTCCTCGGCAGCGGCTCCAGACGCACAGGGCGGCGCTGCGCGGATGCCGATGCCCCGCGCGGGGCGTATGTCCACAGCGTCGCGTACCCGTGGGATCCCGCATCGAGGCGTCCAGGCCGCGGGTCGCCGACAGCGTTCCACGTTGAACGCCGGCGGCGGGGTCGCGGTCGGTCGACACGACGCGTATAGCACAGCCGTTGCTCGTGCACACGCATCTCCCAGTCATCCACTCATGCCTCCTCCCTCACGTGCCCAACAACGGCCTGCATGCGGCCACAGTGCGCGTGGATGCCGCGCAGCTCCTCGCGCATGCACGCCTGCGGTAGAGAAAGAGAGAGAGAGAGAGACACACACGCGAGAAGGGATGGAACATGAGAAATGACCAGGGTGTTACGGAAACCTCAAGAAGATCACAACCTGCAGTTCTCTTTTCCTCCTGCTCCTCATCTCTCATGCTCCTACTCTTGCTCCTGCCCCTCCTCCTCCTCCTCCCTATCATCATCATCATCATCATCATCAGCAGCAGCAGCAGCACCATCATCATCATCATCATCATCATCATCATCATCATCATCATCATCATCATCATCATCATCATCATCATCATCATCGCATCATCATCATCATCATCATCATCAGCAGCAGCAGCAGCATCAGCATCAGCATCACCAGCATCATCCGCATCATCATCATCAGCAGCATCAGCATCGGCATCAGCATCATCATCAGCATCATGCATCATTATCATCATCATCATCATCATCATCATCATCATCATCATCATCATCATCATCATCATCATCATCATCATCATCATCATCATCATCGTCAACAACATCATCCTCATCATCATCCTCATCCTCATCCTCCTCATCATCATCATCATCAACATCATCATCGTCGTCCAGATTAACAGCAGCAGCAGCAGCAACATGATCATCATCATGCTGCGCCTGCAGCTCCACCTCCAGCTCAACCTCATCACCGCCATGTTCCGACTCCACACCCGCGTCTCCCCATTGGCACGGGGCTTCTCCTCTTCCTCCGATTCCTCCTCCGCTATTTCCGCTATTCGCGGCGGCCTGAGGGATCCGCTCCCTGAGCCGCAACTGATTCCTCCTCCTCCTCCTCCTACTCCTCAGGCCCTCCCTCCAGCACGTCTCCTTCTCCCCCTCATCCCGCTTTCCAAGAGTCGCCGCGCCCTAAACCCCTCACTTGACCCAACACCGGCAACCGAAACCGAGGGCGAGGAGGGGGGGCCTCCAGCTCGCGCACGGCGCAGTGCGCGTCCGCGGCGACCGCCGGGCCGCTGGGCGCTGCCCTCTCGGACCTGGCTGCGTCGGGCGGGGGCATTGAAGGAAACTGGGACACACAAATAAATACACACAAATAAAAAATCCACAATATTTTCCCATATTTTCTGGGTTTTTGTCTTCCCCCCCACTTCCCATATTTTCCCATATGTTCTGGGAATCGCCGATTAATTGTGTCTGTGTGTTTTTTCCCCTCCTGAGGCATCCTCACCCAGTGGACACAGTCGTCCCCCGCCGGGGGACACGGCGGCCTCCCACGATGGCCTGCGCAGGCCGCTGCCGAAGCGCACCAGGCGGAAAAGAGAGGTCCCCTCCACGCACCAGAGGTCCGCGCGCGCGACGGCTCTGCCGGGAAGAGAGGCCCTCCACGCACACAGAGGGTCCACGCACCTCGACCGCTCTGCACGCCTGGATGCCAGCGCGCCCGCTGGCGAGGGCGGAGCGCACGGCGGGCGAGCGGCAGCAACGGGAGGGCGCGGGGAGGGCGGGAGGGGAGAGGAGCGAGCGAGCGACCGCCTGCGGACCATCACCCGGGCCTGACCAAGCGAGATTGGAGGGGCACAGGGACAGACAGATAAAGACACACAAATAAAACGATCCCCCATATTCTCCGATATTTTCTGGGTTGTTGTCTTCCCCCCCACTTCCCCTATGTTCCCATCTTTTCCTGGGAGTCGACGATTCATTGTGTCTGTGTGTGTGTTTTCCCCTCCTGAGAGATGGGTGAGGCCATGCCATCCAAATCCTGGCCCGTCCGGAAAACATGTGCTAGAAGTGCTGCTGCTGCTGCCCAGACAGCCCGCCGTGCCCACTCGCCGTGCGGAGCGGAAACTGCTCTGGCATGGGGCCTCGCGCGACGAGGCCGCACGCGCTGATGCCCTACGCAGTGGACTCCACACTTCGATGCACCCCCCGACCCCGCCAGCCCGCCCGACCCGCTGTGAGGGTCCGCCCGCCCGACCAGCCCGTGGGGTCCGCCCGCCCGCTCCCAACCAGCCCGCCGGAGCTGCGGCCCCGAAGGATAGAGCTCTGTGCGTGAGCGTGCCTGTTGAGGTGTGCTAGCAGGTCTTCGTCGCCCACTTCGGTCCCGGCCTCTGGGGATTAGCTAGCACCTGTCGCGTCGGGAGGGACCACCACGAACAATACAAAAGGGATGGTCGTGCACATGATGTGGGCCATGAGCGAGCTGCGTGATCATTGTCAGCAACTGCGTCGCCAATACCGCCCTCACCCCTTCCGCTCATCCTCACGTTTCCATCCCTGCGTTCAGTCATCCGTCCTCCCTCCTCCCTCCCCCATCGCCGGTGGACAAACCTCCATTTAGTAAACCTCCCCTTAGTGAAAACGGCCTGGGACCGAAACCGACGGACCTAGACCCGCAAAGATGACGACCGCGACGCCCCCTCGCGAACCGAAAACGGCCAATTCCTTAATCGACGTGTCAGGGTAGGAGGTCTGTCCATCCCCGACCCCCAGCCGCTGCCCCACTCGTCTCTTTCCTCACCACGGCGGGGGGCCGATGCCTGATCCTGGCCCCGCCCGGCGCAGACAACGGCGGGCTGATCCCACTGCGGGGGGGTCACTGTTCCAGCTTATCGATTCCCCCCCCTTGTGGCTTATCATCACCGAGACCTTCCTGTGTTTCGGACTCTCCCTTGTGACGTCTCTTCTATCAGAGCACCCCCCTGGGAAGGGGGCTCTTGTCATGCCAACTCCTGGTGAAACACCGACAGGGTGAGCCGCCGATCTGGCGTGAGAGTTTAAGAGATCGTGAGCTTGAGCTTCGCTTGAGCTCCGCTCTGCAGGGTGGGGGGGTGTCAGCGCTTTCGCCATTCCCTCCGCACTGCTAGGGTCTGCAGGGGGGGGGGGGTAGGCGCTTTAGCCTGCCCCGCCTCCGCTCTGCAGTGGGGGGGTCAGCGCTTTCGCCCCCGCCTCCGCTCTGCAGGGGGGGGGCTCAGCGCTTTCGCCCCTCTCCTCCGCTCGGCTGGGGATGGGGAGGGGGGCTGGGGGGGGTTGTCAGCGCTTTTGCTCCCGCCTCCGATCTGCAGGGGGGGGGTCCGCGCTCTCGTCCCTCCCATCCGCTCTGCCAATGGGGGGTTCAGCGCTTTCGCCCCCGCTTCCGCGGGGGGGGGGGGTTCAGCGCTTTCGCCCCCGCTTCCGCTCTGCAGGGGGGGGGGGGGTCAGCGCTTTCGCCCCCCCTCCGCTCTGCAGGTGGGGGGGTCCTTGGTCGTCCGTCGTCGTCGTCGTCGTCGTCGTCGTCGTCGTCGTCGTAGTCGTAGTCGTCGTCGTCGTCGTCGTCGTCGTCGTCGTCGTCGTCGTCGTCGTCGTCGTCGTCGTCGTCGTCGTCGTCGTCGTCGTCGTCGTCGTCGTCGTCGTCGTCGTCGTCGTCGTCGTCGTCGTCGTCGTCGTCGTCGTCGTCGTCGTCGTCGTCGTCGTCGTCGTCGTCGTCGTCGTCGTCGTCGTCGTCGTCGTCGTCGTCGTCGTCGTCGTCGTCGTCGTCGTCGTCGTCGTCGTCGTCGTCGTCGTCGTCGTCGTCGTCGTCGTCGTCGTCGTCGTCGTCGTCGTCGTCGTCGTCGTCGTCGTCGTCGTCGTCGTCGTCGTCGTCGTCGTCGTCGTCGTCGTCGTCGTCGTCGTCGTCGTCGTCGTCGTCGTCGTCGTCCGTCGTCCGTCGTCCGTCGTCCGTCGTCCGTCGTCCGTCGTCCGTCGTCCGTCGTCCGTCGTCCGTCGTCCGTCGTCCGTCGTCCGTCGCCGTCGCCGTCGCCGTCGCCGTCGCCGTCGCAGCCGCCGCCGCCGCCGTCGTCGTCGTCGTCGTCGTCGGCGTCGTCGTCGTCGTCCATATCCACTGGCATCCGGAGCGCACCGGATCGGCGGCACTGGTCGCAGGCCACTACAACGTGATACATATATATATATATATATATGGGGGGGGGCGACGAAACGAGGACCTCAATACTGGAAGAGGGAAGAAAGCTGCTGGAGGGAAGGAGGGATGGATGGATGAGGGAAGAAGGGAGACGGGGGGAGGGCGAGGATGAAACGATGGGGCAAGGGGTCCGCGGTAAGAAGCGTAATGTTCGGAAGCTTAAGCAATGCAACGGTTTCGCGCATAGGAGCCCCCCAACACTCAGCGCCGAGGCACAACTGCGATTCCTGGATTTTGGATTGCAAGCGCGCTCATGAGTAGGAATTGCAAGCGGGAGCGCTCCGAGAATCATTCTCTGAAGCCTCCGAAAATCCCCCGAAAGAGCCCCCTGCCCTCTTGAAGAAGCCCCCCTCCCTCGCCACCGACCCGCGCCGCTGGGCGACTTGCAATCGCTGCTCGCACGCGCCGCCGCCGACCCGTCCGCGCGCCCCCTCCCGGGTGCGCAGGACCGCCCCCGCATCCCTCCGCGACGCTCCCGAACTCCGAGCTCGCGCGGACCCGCCCCGGACGCTTCGGACCCCACGGCATCGCACCCGGCGGGCCTCCACGCCCAAGTCTTCCCTCCCCCTTGGACTGAAGGGGCCCTGGGACACACACACAGACACACACACACACACACACACACACATAAAGACACGCAAATCGAAGGATGCCCCAGATTTCCCCACATGTTCGGTGGTTGTTGCCTTCCCCCCTGCCACTTCCCATGTTTTCCCAAATTTTTTCCTGGGAGTGGACGATCCCTTGTGTCTCTGAGTGTTTTTGTCCCCCTCCTGATGGGCGCCGCCGGCCCGATCTGCGCCGCAGCCGGCCCGCTCGCCGCCGGGCGGGCTCCCGCGGGCCGCCCGCCGCGGGCCGTCCGCCGCGGGCCGACGCTGGGGGAGGCCAGCGTGGCGGCCGCCGCGGCCCGGCCGCTCGCAGCCCGCCCGCCCGCCCCGAGCGTGGGCTGGGCAGGGACCGGCCGCCCCAGCAGTCCTCGAGTCCCACCAGGGAATGTCCTTAGAAGCCAAAGACGTTCTGAGGACAAAGACACGGCTCTCGGAACAAAAACCCGATGCGATAAAACAGGACAGACTCCGATAGAGATGTGCTCTGAGAACGTTTCGTGGGAACCACAAGAAGTTCCAGGCACGCCAGGACGCTTCGCCACTGCTTGCCCAATGGGGACAACCCCGTCGCGGGGAGCCCGCCCGGCCCGCGTGGGAGGCCACCGTGGATGCCGTCGCGGCCCCTGCTGGGCCACCCCCGCCGGACAAGGCGCCGCCGGGCGAGCTTCTGCGGCCCCTCCCGCCGCGGGCCACCGCGCGGAGGGGCGGCGGGCCTGGCCCACAGCGGCTCGGCGGGTTCGGGCACGGCCCGCCGCCAGGGCGAGGCCGTCGGACCGTCCGCGC